TTCGAAGGCTGGTTTCAGAATAAAAAATAAAAATAATTATAATTCAATAATAATATAAATGAAATAATGGTCATTGTTAAGAAATTTTGATTTGCAAATAATATGGTAAATGTTATATTTTTCGATAGTTAAACCTTAACTGAGGTGGTTTCGTATCACTAGAAATGTGTGAACAATTAGACTCATTTCAATAGAGACCGACTATTGAGCGGCGGTGTTAAATGTATTTCATTTAGATAGAATTCATCTAAAAAAAAAAGAAATTCAGTTTTTTATCTCACTTGTAAATGTCGACATGTGTTTGTTTGAGGCGCATAGCTGCTTTGAAGCTCCAACCGTTTGGCAGCGGAGCGACAGCTGTATGGGGCAGCAGATGTAAGCGCCCATACAACAGATGCTATTTACATCTGCTGCTGGTACTGTGCATCTGCTGCTACTGTGCATCTGCTGCTACTGTGCATCTGCTCCTACTGTGCATCTGCTGCTACTGTGCATCTGCTGCTACAGTGCATCTGCTAGCTACTATGCATCTGCTGCTACTCTGCATCTGCTGCTATGCTGCTACTGTGCATCTGCTGCTACTGTGCATCTGCTGCTACTGTGCATCTGCTGCTACAGTGCATCTGCTGCTACTGTGCATCTGCCGCTGCTGTGCATCTGCTTTGTGTAGCTATATAGCTGCAGGCATCAGATGTTGTTGCCTGTTTGTTTGTCTATTTGTTGCTTGTATGTACATCTTCAGTAGCCGTTAAATCGCTGGGTGATACTTATGTAATTATGTATAGCTCTACTCGGGTATTATTTGACCGGGAGGTTAAATTGATATAGAAAAATACACTGAGTTTTTACACGTAGATTTCACAGAACGGATATTTACATTCGTGAAGTTTAGTCTGCACCAGCCCCTATCCAAACATAAATGAAAAGACTGCGGAAAACTCGAAAAGTGAATGGAACAATAACTATTGAAACTTAAGATTATCACTGATTTAGATATATTAATATTAGTGCCTAACAGCATCTGTTATTGTCGCTTACGTTATGATAGTGCTTCTGAATGCAAGTGCTTTGGTTCCAATTAGTAGCTACTGCTTGAATATTTTCAGCTATATTTATTATATGCTCCTACAAATGCACCTATATACGTACTGCTGCTCTCGTAGCTGCCTTGCTGCTGCTTGTACAACTGTTAATATAAATGCTAATCAAATATTTGCAACTGCATTCATCAGATGCCCCCTAGCTCAGGTGCACTTACTGCTACTCGTGCAGCTGTTGTTCAAATATTTGCAGACACATTTCTCAAGTGCATCGCTTCACCACTTCTGTCAGATATCTGCTCAAGATGAGTAGATTTTTAAACCTGTGCAAATTTGCAGCAGCTGTCAACTCCTACAAGCTCTCTGCTACAGCTGTCACTGCACACATCTGCTACGTACGGCAGCTATAATAAGAGTATACATCTGCTACAAGGTCGTATAACGCGTCTCATAACATAGACAGATGTAGAAATCAGCTTCTGATCATCTAGAATGATACAGGAAAGCGGAAAGCGTTGATAGACAGTGACAGAGAAACGAACTATACAATCACAGTATTTATTTATACAAAACTTTTATTTCAATAATACCTGTAATCAAGAAAAAATTTCACGTACTGCACTCAAGCGATCAGTTCTGATGCGGAAGAAGGGTAATTATAATGGAAAATATTTCCGAAAATAATTTTTATTTTCAAATTGAGTCACTGTCACATTAATTCACTGTCAGTCACTAATCTCTCTTAATCCATCCTCATTCATTCATTTTCATTCATAGAATTTCATTTACTGACCATCACGATAGACGTGACATTACATCGCCCATCCTGAAACTAAATCTTATAACACGAAAAAATAATACGCCAAGCTTTCCGCCCACTAAAATGATCAAAAAATGGAAAAATGGAAATATTGCAACGTGCTAAAAACACCAAAAAAGAGATAATTTCTTCCACCGTTAGAAAATACACTAAAAATGAGAGCGAATTTTTTATTGTGGGTTAAAAATATGGGACGCAGTATAGACCCCTACATAGCCCTTGCCCACAATTCAATATCTATTCCTTTCCGCTCGTAATCACGCTAGAGGGCATATTAGCCTGTGCGATTACAGCCAACTGACATTAAGCCACCGAAGCAACAGCCGTGGGCAAATAGCCAAACTGTTGCGTGCTTGTATTATACACAGCCTGGCGTATTCGCGGCTTTTGAAAATAAGCGCCCGACATAACAGCGCCGTTACGTTACAGCCACTGCTTCATGGCGCTCTACTCCACAATGATCCGGCGTGGCCTGCGACCAGTAAGGCTTACGGCGTGTGTAAGAAGTGATAGTACGGGGTAAAATTCTCTGGAGTAGGACCTGTTGACAATTGACTATTTGATTCAGCAGGCTGTGGAGTGAGGTAGGTGTTGCTTAAAGTTGGTGTGGGGAGATGACTCAGTTACCTACAGCTTCTTGGGTGTGAGCTGAGTTTAGTTATTGCATTATAGGGTATTTGAGGTGTAGGGCTGCGCTCCCCACGGGGCTATCTTTGCCAAAATTCGCACTCGATTTACATTCCTTTCCGTGGGTATTTTAAAAAAGTATTTAACGCCTAATATAATGCTCATATCTCTAGAAAGCATAGCAGCCTATGGAATCAACTGCTCCAAATAGTAGCGCCTTATGTACACAGCCACCACTTAGACATGCTGAAGGTAAGCATGGCAAAACTGCATCTGGCCAAACCTCCTCCAGCCTAGCCTCATCTAGCCTAACCTACGCAAGTTGCAATTTTCCTTCACCCAAAACAAACCTGAGAGGACCTGACAGAACCTCATTGGCTGCATTAAGTTAGAAAGGCTGTTCATGTGAACTGGTAAAACTAGTCCTTGATTGCGAAAAGGCTGTGAGCAAGACGGTTGTGAATAGGTTAGGTCGGATTAGGTGCAGCCAAACGCGGAACTATCTGCTTGTGAGCGAGCATGCTTAGGTATGGGTTGAAGACCTACGACGTTATTATCTTTGAGAAGTGTGTCCCTGATCTGTATTAAAGTGTTGAAGCGTAGTCTACGTCTTTTAGTTCTGTGGCTGAATAAAGTTATTACTTGCTGAGGCTAGGTGTTGGCGTCAGGAGTTAATGGTTATTCTAGAGTTAAATTTGTGGCATTTGGCTGCGCCCCGTCGCAACCTTGCTTCACTTGTGTTTAGTACCAGAGTCTTGTCCGTTGAAGTAATGCCTTACATGTGCTTAGGATGAGCATCTGGCCCAGTAATTTAGTACCTCACATGTGCATAGGACCAGCGTCTTGTCCAGTGTTGGAATGCCTCACATGTACTTTGGACCGGCATCTTGTTAAGTTATGTAATGTCCTTCTGTCTAATTTTGAAATTGTAATCTTAGTTGAGCTTTCATGCCATAATTTACTACCTATGGGCTGTTTTGGGAAAACATGCTTCAGTATGTAGGTATGGATTTAATATCTCATTCCCTCATATTCTCATATGTATCATATGACGTACAGAGAGTAATTTCAGGTACTTCTACGGAGTTTTCGCGCAATCTGAGGTATGAATCAGTGGTCGAGATTTGGTGATAAATAGATCGTCAGTGATGCTGACGATCTGATAGATCCCACAAAGCCGCCAAACAGTGTTTGGCAAGCTATGTGTGCCATTAGTTTAATCTTTGCCTAACCTACTACCGTTGCCCGAATGATCGAACATCAACCGATTGCAATCTGAACGGACTTAACCTAACTTTCTTGCTGCATTAAAGTCGAGAGGAGGGACATGTGGACAAGCAGAGCGGGTCATCAGCTTAAAATAGGATGAGAGTCCAGGCAATGCTAGTAGGTGAGACCAGAGTTGGTTAGGTTAGATGTGGCTATGATAATGCTTGAATTGAGCACGCTTAGGAGAGGCTGGGTTTGGAATAACGGCGCTATTAGCTTCAAGCAGGAGAGAATTAGTAAGGCTCATTGTATTCAAGTGTAGTCTGCGGCTTCTGGCCCTGAGGCTGAGTGTACGTAGTTTTTGCCTGCTGAGGCAAGACGTTGGCTCCAGGGATAAGTTAAGAGTAAGATTCATGGCCCAATGCGTCCATTATTTACTTCTAAGCGGTAATTTACTACCTTTCCCTTTTTGGGAAATTTTTTTAACTGTGTATGGGTTTAATAATATTTTCTCGCGTATTTTCAAATGTAGCTAATGACGTATAGAAATTAAATTCAGGTACATCTGTGGAGATATCTGCATTCTGAGATATGAAACGGTGGTCGAGAATAGATGGTAAATGGATGGTCAGTGACGCAAATGCATCGGATTCCCGTTGTCCGACTCTCCACCTAAGCAAACTTGAATGGACTTAAAATGGCCATATTGGCTGCGGAAAGTGGAGAGGCGGGGCAAACGAACGGGCATAGCGGATCATTGATTGAAAGAAGGAGAGGAGTCCGGGTAACGCGAATAGGCTAGGCTACAGTTGGTTATGTCAGATATGATTATGCCAGTGCTTGAATTTAGCATGCTTAAGCGGTGCTTGTGGACACAGTGCCCTGATGAGTTCTAACAGTCAGGAACTGGACTGGCGTACAGGGTTCTAGCGCATTCTGTGGCTTCTAGCTTTGAGTCTGAGTGTGGTTAGTGCTTGCTGAGGTAAGGCTTTCGCTTCAGGGCTAACTGAGTTTGGAAATTGCCAACTTAATGATTTTTTGGTGATTTTTGGACAGTGCCTATCTAATTCGATTTCATTCATATAGATCCTGTACAAGAGATATTTTCTGTTAGTGACACTGACAATTGCGGCATTAATGCTGCTGTTGCATGAAATAACTTCAATTCGTTTCAACAATTCCGCTCCGCAGAAGTTCCGCCCAGTAGTTCAGCATTGCTTGACATTCAAATGGCAGAAAGCCATTTCATTGTTCTTCTCTCTGATCCTAAGTGATTCATTAAGGACATATCTCGCAATAGGATGCATACTGGAGATCAGCACAGCACAAATGCACACTGACTTCATTTTTATTACCGCAGATAAGCACAATGGAAGGACTAGTATAAAACTAGGTGTTGTTAAGCCCTTAGAGTATCCGAATCGTGATTAATAAAGTAGCAGAGAAGACAACCTGGGATCCCACATGGCTGGAAGTCATAGTAGTGGAAAGCCTTTCAAGTTTCCGCATTGTGAGTACTCCAGTACTCGACAGCAATCTGTACAACGCCACATTGATGCAAAACATGGCGTTGAATCAAGGGAGTTATCGGCAGTGGATCATGAAATTCCCTATTCATGTCAGCAATGTGATTTTTATTGTTCTACAGTTGAAGAATTTGAAACTCACGTGGCATACGTACATTCAATTGAAATTTTGTTCAGGTGTCCGGAGTGTGAGTACTCCAGTGGCCAAGAAGAGAACCTGATATCCCATATGGCTAGCGAGCATCGTAACGAGAAGCCTTTCAAATGTCCGTATTGTGAGTACTCCAGCAACCGAAAACAATCTGTACTACGCCACATAGCTACAAAACATGGCGTTGAATCAAGCAAGTTATCGTCGGTGGCTCATAAGATTCGCTATTCATGTCAGCAATGTGATTTCTATTGTTATACAGGAGAAGAATTGGAAATTCACGTGGAATCCATACATTCTACTGAAATTTTGTTCAGGTGTCCGCAATGTGAGTACTCCAGTGGCAGAGAAGAGAACCTAAAATCCCACATGATTCTCAAGCATCGTGGTGAAAAGCCATTCAAGTGTCCGCATTGTGAGTACTCTAGTGGCAGAGAAGAGAACCTAAAATCCCACATGGTGCTCAAGCATCGTGGTGAAAAGCCATTCAAGTGTCCGCATTGTGAGTACTCCAGTGGCAGAGAAGAGAACCTAAAATCCCACATGGTGCTCAAGCATCGTGGTGAAAAGCCATTCAAGTGTCCGCATTGTGAGTACGCCAGTAGTCGACAATATCACCTGAAATCCCACATGGCTAGCAAGCATAATGGTGAAAAGCCTTTCAAGTGCCAGCAATGTGAGTACGCATGTAAACGAAAGCGATACCTGAAATACCACGTGGCTGCTAAACATAGGGATGAAAAGCTGTTCAAGTGTCATGAGTGTGGGAGCACGTGTAAATTAAAAACCGCCTTGATATCTCATATTGCATACATGCATTCAAGTGAAAAGCCCTACAATTGTGCGGAATGCGGGTACTCGTGTTTTCGAAAATATCACTTGCAACGCCACGTGGAAGCCAAGCACTCAAATAGACAACCCTAAATCTGTTTGAAAAATTAGCCGAAAACAAGACGTGGATCTTCACTTGTCATTCGAAGAAAGCCACCACGTCTATCCTTTATATAAGTAACTATGGAAAGTCTAAAGGGATAGGGATGTTATTCTGAGTTGGATTACCATGAATAAAATTCCTCCCATCCGTCTACTAATACCCATGGGAAGTTTTGACTTCGTAGGTGTGGAATTCAAGCACTAACCTTGGTTGTGTTCTGCCAAGTATTCAAAAAGATGCTGTAACAACTAACAAATTGAATGAAGGAATAATTCTGGGTTTAATATCGTATGTTAGCAATTGCATGGATAAATTTTCTACGGATTTTTATAGTTTCGGAAAGTCATGATTGAATTGGGATACAATTCGACTCAACCAGCCACGAAAACTTTGTGTACACTAACGGAGTAAAAAATGTTGTTTTCGCGGGAGAATAAATACATTTCTTGCTCTGACTGCAAAGGCAGCAATGTCATCGGCACTTGTTCGAAGCTCATGCATGGTGGAAATGCTGACAAAACAATCGCTCATTGAGACATTCGTGGTCAAAAGTCTCAAAACCCTCTTATATATACTTTTGTGATGGGTGAAAACTTCCGGAAATGAAAACCGAGTAGAATACAAGTTGAATGATCACGGTGTGTTAATACAAATTTTCTTTCTTGTGATCACGGATATGCGATGTTGGAAAGTCATCTTAATATTACATACATTTTTCTAATCTTTCATGCATCATCCAATGCATCAGCTTAGGTGCGCGAATAAGGTGGTTCTTTCCTTCATATTTCTTGATCAATGACCACTTCATTCGGAATATTTTCATTCGAGATGCGCGAATTTTACTTTACTTACTTTTCCACCAAGACCGTCTGTTAAATCATTCCGTTGTGTTGACTTATTTATTATCAATTAGCTGCTTTTAAACCCTAATTTTAAGGTGTGGATTGATAATTTGCATTATACCTTTCAAGTATCTACACATCCTGATGAACGTTAATGTTAAAGAGCGGCCAATCTAGCATTTGAATTGTTATATTTAACTAGACTTACGTTTTATTTGAAGTCGACATAGTTTTAAAATATATTAGTGATAAATAGCAAAATTTAATAGTTTAATGATAGCCTAGTATAATCTTCTACTTTCACAGAAGACTTTATTTATCTAATTGCAAAATTTATAATGACCTGACTTTTGCAGTTTGTAATGCCATTGTAATCTGTAATGGCATGAATTCAATCTATTTTGGATATCATGGCTAAATTTCAACATAGAGGCGCAATGATGAACTTTATTTTAGGTATGATTTGGCATAAGGGAAAATACCTAATTTAATTAATAATTTAATTTCTCATTACCGCCACCAACAATGTATATAATTTCTAACTGAATAATCGAATGTATGCTTTGCGATGCAGAATTCAAATCATTTTACCCTACCAAATCATTTACGAAACTGCGGATCAGTTATCAAAATTAATTTTACAACACAATAACTACCAAATTGTTGAAAACAATCAGGATATAATCGCTATTGTTTTAAGTTGGCTAACTTCTTAAATTATAAACTCTCGTAGTTTTAAGAATTTTTTAATTGTTCTAAAAAGTATAATGTGAGTTACGATACTCAAGTAGAACCTAAATAAATTTACATATATATTCAATGGGGAATATTTCGTTTTATTTTTGAACCTCTCCGATTATTTTCACTTCAGATTTATATAACCTAACCTCATTCTGATGACGATTGAATAGTCTTCTGCTATCCGTTATACTTTCAATCACTTACGCGGTAATCACCAATTTATTGCTTCCGTCTTTAATATCACGAAGGATAATGTTTAGCCCAAAAGATGCTGGTGTTGGTACATATGATTAATTTGAGGATATCCTCACATGCGGAAATATTGCGTCCAACATTTAGCGTAAGTAAAAATGCCTCGCACGTGCATAGGACCGGCGTCTTGTCCAGTGATGTAATGCCTCTCATGTGCTTAGGACCAGCGTCTTGTCCAGAGTACTTATAGGACCAGCGTCTTGTCCAGTGATGTAAATCCCCGCATGTACTTATAGGACCAGCGTCTTGTCCAGTAATGCAATGACTAACATGTGCTTTGGACCGGCGTCTTATTCAGTTATGTAATGTCCCTCTTTCTAGTTATGGAATTGTAGCCTTATTGGAACTTTTTAGCTATAATTTATTACCTTTTGTGTTCTGAGAAACCATGCTTCATTATGCGTAGATGTGTTTAATATCTCTAATTCTCGTGTTTTCATTTGCCATAAATGACGTACAGAGAGTAATTTCGAATACTGTTAACGGAGAAACGAGCATTCTTAGGTATGAATTGGTTCTCGAGATTAGGTGTTAGATAGATGGTTGGTGATGCAAGTTGATCGGACCTACCTACTCACTTTAACCGACTCTCCAACAAAAAAAAAACTGAACTTTCCTAACCTAAACTCATTGGCTGCTGGGCACGTGGACAGGCAGAGCGGGGCTCATTGGCTGCAAGATGGTATGGAAACCAGGTAACTAGAGTAGGTGAGGCTGGAATTGGTTAATTTGGATGTGATTATGACAAGCTTGAGTTGAACATTCTCATGCGGTGCGCGTGAACCGCGCGGTTTGCTTTAAGCAACACGGAATTAATTAAAGTATTAATGTCACTTATTTGCTTAAATGACGTACAGTCCAGTTGACGTCCAGTACAGTCCAGTACAGTCCAGTTGACGTCCAGTACAGTCCAAATGACGTCCAGTACAGTCCAGTTGTCCAGTTATGTCCAGCTATTAATTAATTTCGATATTTCGCCACATAAATTGTCTTTATATAGAATACTTAATTCTTCTAGCGTATAATTTTATGCTAGAAGTTTATGCTAAAAATATCAGTTACTTCTAACGCACTAGATTGATTTGCTTTGTATCTTTTTGGGAACAACATTTTTTAGTAATATGAGACCCAATCACAATAAGAGGGCAAGCGGAGCAGTAAATATCGAAGATGTTGCCTTCGGTCCTGATGACCATCGAGCTCATGACAGCAGGATTGCTGCACTTGATTCTGATATCCAGCGAACTAATCACAGCATTGCTGCTGGGCATGGACCTATAACCCAAGCAGCTAATCACAGCATTGCTGCTGGGCATGGACCTATAACCCAAGCAGCTAATCACAGCATTGCTACTGGGCATGGACCTGACGCCCATCCAGCTATTCACAGCACGGCTGCTGGGGTTTATTCTGATACCAATCGAGCTAATCATGTCGCGGCTGCTGGTTGTGAACCTGATAACCATCGAGCTAATCTCAGCACAGCTGGTGAGTGTAAACCTGATACTCGTCACGAACACGAAAACAGGAGCGCATTCTTTCGACCGTGGTGCGAACTGGTATCCCAACGTCCAGTGGGAAGAAATAGTGCGTGTGGAATAGATGCCTACCAAGCAGTCAGCACCTGGTGTGAAGGTTTGTTAATTTTACGAAAAGTTTGAGATATATTCTGCATTCGTTTTCAATGACATTTTCGAGAAATGAATTTCATGTCATCAATTCGATTGGGGACACACTCTCTGGGCTCAACTTTATACACAAATTTAATAAACTTCTCCCACAAGATGATAATGGTGTCTCAAGGTATTGCGACACCCTCCTGGCTAATAACGCCGGAACAAACGCTTAATCGAGGTAATCTAAACGATGATTTTACGTTAGACTGATATGATGAAATTCTTAATTATCAGCATTGATTTAAAATATAGCATAACATAACTGTATTATTTCGAATTTTTGTAGTTAGCCGTTTCTCTGCTACAAAATGTAAGATTCGCACTCAATTATTAGTGAGCCTATTAATTTAAACTTCATTTTCAGGTTTTTTACGATTCAGGTTTTACGGCAGGGTGGCCCAGTGGTTAAAGTTCAGAGTACCATGATTGGCGCAGAGAGGCGCGGGTTCGATCCCAGCTCTGTGCGCCAGTTTCTGGTCAGAATCGGCGAGGAGGCCGGGCGGTTAAGCTAAGCAGAATTGTAGCAGTGAGTTGCGAGTTCGAGACCGCAAAATACTGTGGATGTTCTGCGAAGTTAAGAATCGGCGACAGGCCTACGTACGGCCTACTAAACGCAGAAACCGCTATTATTATTATTCCATTCGGATTTATATTAAAAAAAATGTTTTCCAGTCGATAGCAAGATGTCTGATAACGCAGCCTCTCATCATTCCAAAACTCGCGGTAACGACCGAGCTTCGCCTGAAGACACCGCGAGTAATGAACAAGACTCCTCGGGCGTTGTGGCAGAGCGTCTTGGCGCAGTGGTAAGGCTAAGTTCAGAAAATTTCTACTAATAATTATTAGATTTCGCGGCTGATGTCACTACTCAATTATGAGTAATCGGAAGTTATCTCCTTCTCTGGAGAAATAATGTTTAAAATCTGATTTGATTCAAGCATGATTCAGCTCGCACCACCGCAATATAAAGAAATGAATATCATTTATATGAATAACAGACATCGCACAATAATGATCTCTATATATGGGAACCAAATCGTTCATTGCTTCCTCTTAAGTTTTCTCAGAAAGAAAGGGGAGAGAACGAAATTTTCCTACCATCGCAAGTTATGATTAGACTTCGTCGAAGCTAAATAAGTATTCAAAACTTGCGTTGCCTCAATTGTTAATAAGGTGCCAGTGTACAGGTTCTAATTCATCTGTACATTCACCATTAGTCTCGATGAGTCTCGGGAAGTGCCGTATAGAAAAAGTCTTAGAGCAAGGGTGAAAAATATTTGAATGTAAATTTGTATCTCTTTTGAAGTCAGATTCCCTTTCGCTTCTGGTTTTTTTTCATGCTTCAATCCTAATCATCAACTTTTTTCGTGACAGAAATTGGCACAATGCGTTTCGGAGGCATCAGTAGAAGAACGTTTCTCGCATTCACGGGCTGCTAATTTTCCATCAGAAATTTCTTACTCATACGAGGGAAATCCAGCAACTGATCAATACGGAATACCAGTTACACGACAAAATTTTCATTCCTCATCTATAAACCAAACTCGTGTGAGATCATCGGCATCGAACGTGGAAGTGAGGGAAGAAGCACTATTAACAAAATAAGCATTGTGAGTACGCCAGTATTGGAAGCCGCTACCCGCAAGCCCACATGTCTGCTGAACATGGTGGTGAAACGCCATTGAAGTGTCAGCAATGTGAGTACGCCAGTAGTAGAAATTTCTATTTGCAGCGCAACATAGCAGATAACCATTGTGATGAAAAGCCGTTCAGGTGCCGTCTATGTGACTTCGCCTGTAAAAGAAGTTACAATCTGCAGCGCCACATAGCCTCTAAACATTGTGATGAAATGCCATTCAAGTGCCAGCAATGTGAGTACGCCTGTAAACAATATCAATACCTGAAATCCCACATAGCTGTCGTGCATACAGATAAAAAGCCTTTCTTGTGTCAGCAATGCGGGCATGCATGCAGCTTGAAATCTGACTTGATATCTCACAACGCACACGTGCATTCATAAGAAAAGCTTTCCAAGTGATCGTAATGTGAGTACTCCAGTGTTCAAGAATGACTCTCGCGACGCCTCAAGGAATTGAAGCACTCAAAAATACACTCCTACATGCACTTACAATATTGGCCGGAATCAAGGAGGGGAATATCTCTTGTCATCCAAAGGTACCCATCATATTATTGCGTAATATCAGTACCCATGCTAAGTCTTAGTCGAATGCGAGTTTCTCCGAGTAGGGGTGTCATGAGTAAAATTTATTAAAACCTGGGATGTGTTAAGCAAAGAATTTGAACACCTGAAGTAGCTGCGTGCATCGAAAATATTTTCCTCTTCATTGAAGCCATGAAACAAGGTTCAAATTGAGTTGAATCGAATTGAAAACCGAGTGAAATACTCGCGTGTGTGTCACCAGTGATCACTTATATCCCATCCTTACTGAG